GAGAGAGAGAGAGAGAGAGAGAGAGAGAGAGAGAGAGAGAGAGAGAGGGAGGAAGAGAGAGAAATGGGATGTAGTACGATCATGGTGCGATCTTTGTTTGTCAAAAAAAAACTACAGCACAGTTCATTGTGCCGTAATCTAGCATTGAACATTTTGCTCGTTTTTCATTTTTAAACGATTCTCTTTGTTTCGGACAGCGCGCGAAGAAAATTCGATAGAAACGAAAATTGCTTCGTATGTCAAAGTGCAAAAAATTCAAATGACTTTTCTTTTCTTATTTTCAATAAAGAAAAAAGGTCCTTTGTTCGCTTCGAAAATGAACTTGACGCAAATTCACCATGCATTCCATGAAAACGCTTTTGTTTTCCCATTTCACTTAAACGGTTCGAAGTGTTTTGGAATGAACAAAAATTGAAAAGCATTTTAATTTTATCGATGAAATTGTAAAATCAAAACAATCAAAAATGCATTCGAATCAATCAAGATGAGATCAAAAAACCACAAACGATGAAATTTCACATCAATGTCGATAAATGCGCATTCATAGCATAGTTAAAAATAGAGAGAACTGCCCTAGCTCAAGACGACGACGAGAAAAAAGAAATATATTTCAGACGCACATCAATCAATTCGATTCGAAATGTTCGAATCCTTTGTAGTGCTACTCGATGCTTCTATTTGCTAATCATTTTACATACCGTTTTCAATTTCCTCCCATTCATTCGTTTTCTATGTTCTCTCGCTCTTGACGCGGATTTCATTCACCACGCAAAACTATGATTAAATGATGGAGTAGCATTCGATCACAGTCGTGTGTGTGTATTGATCTTATTACGTACGACTGCAGTCGTTGACGGTGATATGTGATTATAAAGCGAGAATGAACGAAGAGCAAAAAAAAAATGCGCCTAGAATATCACGAGCACTCAATCGAGTGCTGCTTTTTGTTTGCTGTCGCTTCCTTTTCACATCGAACGACAAGTTCCAACTGAAGTTGTGGCTGCTTGTGTGCGGTTTTGTATTTTTGCTTTCTTTCTTTTCGTCGTCGTAGTCGTTGTTTCTTCGCTGCTTTTTTTTGCTGAGGCAAACGCATTTTTTCCCGAATCGCGTTCTTGAAAAATATACACCATCATCATCATCATCATCATCATGTTTCGTCTTTATGTTATCTTCTCTCGTTCGACCGGATTATATTTTTATCGTCGCTTCTGCTGCTGCCGCCGCTGCTGTATAGCGACTTTATGCATATTCTCTCATTATGTGCAACGCATTGCACTTGATTCACAGCTTCGGAAGAAGAACTATTAAATGATCCGCAGGCTAGGAGTTTCTGTAGAGCGAGAAACGATGCAGCAAAAAAAAAAAAAACAGCAAATTCAACAAAAATTCACATCATTGAAATTGCCGTGGAAAGAAGAGAAAAAGAAATTGTTTTGACTTGAACTCGGCTCAGTCCAGCGAGTGTGTAACAGAGTACGAGCGCGCGCGATAGTTGTTGTTTGTACTGGGTGATCATATAACATGTTTCAGTATTTATCATTCATTGATCGTACGGTGCCATGCAGGTATCCATTCGCACTCCTTCTCTCCCTCGCTCCAACTGTGTGACTTCTTTTGTTGTCTTTTAATGACAAGAGTCGCGCGCGTTTGCGCTCACGCCAAAAGAATCCAAGTGCAGAGTGCGAGTGAACACTGTTGATTTTTTCATTGCTTCTCTTTATTCCAACAATTCGCCAGCATTTTCGATTCTCGTAAACCGGCTCAACGCTGCACATATTCAGCATAATATCATTTCACACAACTTCCACAACTGATAACAATGTCAAAAATGTTATTATGATATTTATTATTTCGCATTAAAATGCAGATATATTTCTTTTTTGATAAATGATAACACAATGCATCGAATCAATTTCAAGTGTGATCTACTTTACGGTACCTCGTAATCACACAACGATAAATCATTTTAGTAAATAAATTGTTAACTCTTTCCATTACAACAAATGCTATACCATTCACTAATTGACCATGATTTTTCTTTTGATTTTTTATTTGCAGAAATTCAGATCAGAGAAAAGAGACCTTTTGATGAACGGAATTTTCGGAATTGTACACGCATGATGAAGACGATATCTAGTCATTCCATAAGAATTACCTCTTTTTTATATTTTAAGTTTTTATAATTAATAAAATGTTAACCTTTAAGTTAAAACCCATAGTTTTGTTAAGTTCACAACATTTTGTACTATTGATTGTAATAACAGCTTCATTTTGATCTAATTAAACTTGAAAGCAAATGAAATGAAAAAAATAAACCACGTGCCTTTTTAAAACATATGAAAATTGATTTCGAATCGAATGTTATAAAAGAAAAAAAAGGATTTCAAAGTTTTGCGTCATTTGCATGATTCCTTCATATAAAAGATCACTTTTTGAATACAATAAGTTCGCCAGTGAAACATTTAAATTATCTAATTTTTAAGACATACTTTTTGTTCGTTATAGGATTAAGACATTGTTTATATAAAAAAACACTTTAGCCAGAGAAACTATTTATGTAAATTAAAGCGACTTGTAAGTCTCAATGAGAAATGAAATACCTCGTCTTTTTTTCGATCGTTTTTTTCCAGGATCATAATAATTGAACATTTTCCTATGCATCTGCTAAATAATCGAGGTTTGTATTATATATGCACCCGCACAATCAAAACCATTTCTCCTTCGATCTGTGTGCTGATTCTAACCAACCATAAGATGCACTAACCATGGTAAGATGCAGTGCGTTGCATACAACACCCGCTGCAGCTTGCGTTTTTCTCTCTATATCCCTCTCTTCATGTGTAAATGTGTACCTTAAATCTTTTTCGTTTATTTGGATTGCTCTCTCTCTCCTTCTCTCTCTCTCTAGAGCCTCTTTCGTTCGTATACCGTAGACAACAAGCCGTTTAGATCTCTTTTATGCGTCTCTTCGTCCGTGCGATCGTATTTCAGTTGAGCGTATTGCTGTGACGTTCAAACACTGTACGTTGGAGTGGGGATAATGAAATCAAGGCAAAAGGTAGAAAAAGGAGCGTGTTTTTGTATTGCAATGTGTATGCTACACATATCGTCACATTCGCCGTACACACCGAATAGAATTTTTACAGGCTACAGCAGGTAGAGAGAAATAGTACATAATCGTTGGTCTTGCGACGAAGGGTTTCATTCTGTGGATAGCTCTCGACAAGTTAACACTGTTCGCTCTTTTCAATATCAAGTTCAAACTTCGAAAAGAAATAAAGAAAATAAAGTAAAGTGTTTGATCGAAAAAATCAACCAAGTGTCTACGACGTCATTCAATTTTTTTTTAAAAATAAATCTGTTCTCTAAAAAATAAAGCGTGATTTTGAACTGACTTTCAAACTAGTTTTTAAATAAGTGATTTCGTACAATTTTTTTTCTTTCCAAAAGTGAAAAAAAAATCAATCGACAAAATGATGCACCAAAACGCCTACATTCAACAATATCAGCAAACATTAATGCACCAGCACCCGCAACAAATGAACCATATGCATTCGCAACAACCACATCATCAAATGCAAACTGTTCCAATGGCAAAATTAGCCAAACGACCGATCGCTCCAGCACCACCATCAATTGCCGAACACAATCAGCTAAATCGTGTCAGCAGCACAATGAGCAACAGCAAAAAATCAAAGATGACATACGCGCAAATGGCATTCACAGCAACTCAACCAGCTTCCGTTCAACGTCGAAATGCCCGTGAACGTAATCGTGTGAAACAAGTCAATATGGGTTTCAATAATTTACGGCAACATATTCCACCTGATGTGGTAACACAACTATCAAACGGTGGTCGTGGTGCTAGTAAAAAAATAAGCAAAGTGGATACATTGCGATTGGCTGTTGAATACATTCGACGCTTGCAAGGAATTTTGGACGACAGTGATACGGAATCGCTAAGTGCTTCATCGAACTCAACATCATCATCGACATCAAGTAATTCATACTATTCACCAAGTCCAGTACAATGCATTCAACCACCGCCACCATGTTCCGAATCATCAGCATCGCCAACACCATCGTATTCATCCGATAATTCATCGGTCGGAAATTCAAATTATATTTTACCAACAACATACAAATACGAAACGTACGATTCTTATAATAATGTGGAATCACCAGACGAAGATGATCTTTTGGATGCGATTACCTGGTGGCAACAACAGTGAGACGAAAAACATCATCTAGCTCACGTTATCTAGTCATTCCAAAAGAATTACCTCGTTTTTGTATTTTAAGTTTCTGTTTAGTACAAGTTCGTAAAATGTTTACCTTTAATTTTAAATATTTTTGTAAAGCCATGTACGATAAGTATAAATGATCAGTTTAAATTTGAACAAAATTTAACAAAAAAAAAATGTGCCTTTTAAATATTTTAATGATTCGAAATCCAACAATATTTAAGAAAAAACGAAAAAAAAATTGCGCACACATTTGTAAAACTTGGAAATAGGGAATAGATCATTGTATACTTAAACAAGATAAACTCGCCAGTGAAAAAAGCCTGATTTAAAATTGTTCGTTTTAGGACTAAGACATAAGAGAGTATGCGAGAATGTTTTTTTTTTCTTTGTCAGAGAAACTATTTAAATTGATTTGTAGCCATGTAAGATATTTCGAAAATAAAAAAATGTACAATTGCCAAATATGCTCGAAAAAATTAACCACTGTGTTTTTCATTTCATTTTCTTACTTGAAATTCCAATTTATCGCCTTCTAATTAACAAAAAGGATGTCTTTATTCGCCGATTTAAATGCTTGAAAAAACGAATGACGCTCTAGCTGTCGAACCGCCTAAAAATCGCAGTTGTAATTCAGTCACAGCGCACACATAAAATTGCTTCTCTCAAGTTAAGTTGAATTCAGACCCGCAACAGCATCACTTTACATAATTAATGGCTTTTAACCAATGGACATTTGTTATACATTATGCAAACAAGAAACGATCGGCTTGTTTTGAGGCTGCAGGTTATAAATTAAATGCCTATACTTTTCGGTGTCGGTGTGAGCAACATCAAAGTGTTGTGGTTTTGTCATTTTTGCCGGCATGAGAACGACATCGAAAAAAAAAACATACACACTGAATTTCGATTGAGAACTCATTTCATTTTATAGCGCATGGCTGATGATGTAGTGTTTTTTGAGCATTGCTGATGTGTGCAAAGCAAACGAACTCATTGAATTGCTTGTTTGTCATTAGTTTGGTCAGCGCAGCGTATACGAAAAATTTGAAGCGATACAAAACGCCTCGTTCATACTTCTTGTTGTTAAAACTATATTAATTAAAAGCAAATTGACCAATTAGGAATCGTTTGCTAAAGAGTTGCCTTGACATTCGCTCCGATTTTTCATTATTCCGTTTTTTTTTGTTTGTAAAAGTGTGCATAACATATGGAACGCGATAAAATACACGCAAAAACAATCTTGCATTTTTGTTGCCGCATATTTTGGCCGATGCTTACACCGTGACACAGAAGAGGTTAACGAATCATCATTTATTATGCTTGAACATTTCTTGAATACGATCCTTCCGAAGAAGTCCAACGAAGACGATACTCATTTTGCTTTGCTGCAACTAGCTCAAGACTTGAGCCTCAAGTATAAGTTCATTTCGCCGTTTCACTCTGTCTGTCCGTTGTCGTTGTGTGTGAGTGTGTCTTTTTTGCACACGAACAAAGTGATTAGTACCTTGGCAATAAGATGATATGATAGAAGCCCGTCAAATGTTCTGTATTGAAGCATGAATTTGACTTAAATGAACGGTGAAAAGAGCATGCTTTGCACTGATTATTATGTTTCATATGGCATGGATTCGCGCACTTAAAACCGAAACTGAATACACATATACGTGCCGTTGCATAAAATTCGAATCTAAACAAATGATTCTGATGATTGTTGAATGGCTCTCGTCGCTGTTATTTCATGCTCATCACACTTTCTGTGTTTTGGCTGACGTCTCTCTACTCCTGTTGTTCTTTTTCTCTGTGTTTGTCTTTTTTTCTCTCTAACCGATTCTCATTCTTATGCGGTTGTTATTGTTATGATCATTTCTCGTCTCATATATAAATTCAACGGATCGGTCGTTCTCTCGTTGACTATATTAATTCTGATGGTCAATTATTTACTTCGGTTTTTATCGGCAGCCTTTGATATTGATCGTGATCACTTCTCTTTTTTTCATTTTTGTCAGCAAACGCGGATATCAAAACGGACTTTCGAAAACCGTAATTTTGAATGCATTATTCGCAACCTATTCAATGAATGATAATTTATTTCGTCAATTTTTTTTTCTAATTGTATTGGGCTGCGGTTGCAACTGAGTGTTGCAACGATAAACGAACCGATCAATGATCCGTGAGTTTTGGCATTTTTTCGGCAACTTATTTGCAGCTAGTTATTGAAATCATCGCTTCGATTTTGTGCTTATCGTTTGCCTTATCGTTTGCTGTTCATTCTCTTCACGTCAGCAAATTCTGTGGGAATCAAATGGATAATGTTACATGGTCATCGTAGTAGTTGTAGAGAGTCATTAGAGAGGCCTGCATAAGAAGATAAAGAAGATACACACTTATTTTGTACGCAATTCACGTGAATGAAACGACAATTATCGATTGTGTTGTTCACTCATCATGGTAATCGTGTTAAAGGATGAAGTGATTACCCGCATCCTATGAGATACGATGAATATGCAAACAAAAATAGCATCGATTTTAAGTTATGATGGACAATCGATTCATGTTTAGAACTCAAAAATGACAACGAATCAATGTTCGTAAACCATACAATGATTTTTGGATAGAATAGATCCGTAAGATCTCCGCAAGATCCGGATCCAAGCGTGCGTACGTAGCCGCATGATACATACATTCCTTACTCCGTAATGCTATGGCATGCGAATCAAAGAAGGGGAAATAAGAATAACGAATTTGCGTGCGTATTATATATGTATGCATCATGCGGCAGCGTACGCACGCTTGGATCTGGATCTTGCGGAGATCTTTCGCATCTATCCTATCTAAAAATCATTGTATGTCGTAAACAGAAGAAAAAATATGCAAAAAATAATGAAAAATTGCGCCATTACACTACAACAAGAAAAATCGTTGAACTCGGTGGTTGCATTGGAATGCTCATCTCATAAAAACTGGCTCCAATTTAGCACACGTTTTGAGTCAATATTATATTTTTTTCGTTATTGTACACTATTCTGCATCACATTTCCTTGCCCGTTGGTATACATTTATTATTACTTTTCGTTTCCACATGAATGCAGCCTTTGTTTCGGTATATATTTTACGATATTCGGGGCATCAGAAAGACAAAGACAGAAGTTGAAATGAGCAAACCGAAACATTTCAATTTTCGTAAAAAAAAAATTTGCATTGGGCCAGGCTGGCGCGCGATCAACAAATAAAATATGAATATTTATGGATTTTAATCGATTCGCAAATAGTTATTTTTACCATGTTGTTGTTGGTTCGACGATTGAAATTGTATCGCTTCAATTTATGTTGCGCTTCATTTCATTTTAACATGAATGCGCGCGCGGTTCGACATGAAATCGCTTAACATCATAATTATTCGAAAATAAAATCATTCTCAAACAGTAAAAGTAGCATCGTCATTAAACTTTCGATCGACGACTGGCTCGTCTTAATATATTTCTTTGAAATGCCAATGTGAATCCAGTTGAGCTGCCCATGCACATACAACTGAAAAGTACACTAAAACATTGTAATCAGTATAACGCGTTAGCGCATGAAAACGCGAGCTATTAAATTACTGTGAACATTTAAATCGACCGAAGGAAGGAAGATCAAAACTGAAAAAAAAAATCAAATAAACATTTTATATGGTACATTATGGTGCACATACAACACAATTGTTTTACAGTCACTAGCGCATGCACACACAGACACTCACCGATCGAGATACACTGGCGGACACGATATTTATGGCATTACATAGTTGATGAGATTAAGACTAATCAAGAGCGGCAAAGAAACCGAAAGGTAAACAAAACGAAATAAACAAATTCAACAAACGGCAAGTGCTTATGAATGAGTTGTGGCAGTTGTTTACTGACCGAAAATCAGACTGAATATATATTGATAATACATGGTAATATCGTATTACCTGTTGCGGTCAATTCCTAATTTAAATGCTCGAAAATGAGCAGCGATTAAGATGATGAAGAAAAGAAAAAGTGTTGAAATGGAAAATCACATCTTCGTTACATTCAATTTTCCAATCAGAACTTTCCGGTGCATGTCTGTTCAGACGCAGTCGTTCATTTGATGAGTTACGCATCAATGGAACAGAACGCGTGTAATCGCTTTAACATTAATGCACTCGATCGTACCAATAAACAATCTCTTTTCCTGTGAATTCGATTATTGCCCCGATCTCTTTTGTGTGTGTGTGTGTTTTTTTTTATCTCTGTAAGGAAGACGCAATGTTTCACTTCTTTTCATTGAGAAGGATGAAAATACCTGCATGATTTGCATATTTCAATTTTCAAATATAGAGGTCTAGAATCTTTGTTTCACATTTTTAACGAAAAGTACCTCTATTGTCTTTATCTCGCACGCAAACAAAAATAAATAAAAGTGTAATGAACTAATTTCAGTCTTAAGCACGAAATTAAAAGATGAGCTTGAAAACTTTAAATACCTCAAATCTGATTGTTTAAACATTATTGTAATACCGCAATACATTTACTAGAGCGAAAGAAGACTGACAAAAAGTCTTGTCTGGTTGCATCATTAAATGTGTCCTCAACGATCTAAGAATGGGTGAGTAATGTAAACCTATGTGTATCACCTAGTGAGTTTCGATGCCATTCAAGATAAATTCAAGCTAAACCAAAGCCATATCCGATAGGAAGAAAACATAAAAATTGCCACACATTCGAATCGTCGGTAGTGCACAAAATTATAGTCTTACATCCAAATTAGAGGTACTTAGCAACAAAGAGCCTCTTGATCATTCAGAAAAAAATGTTTCTATTTTTTGTTTAAAGAAAAACTGCAAAAATGAGTTTGTTAACCGAACTATACTGTTTCGTCGTCTCCTGCACAGCGGTTGACATGGCAGAAAAAACCATTCGTCTAGCCTCGTAAAGTTCGTTTAATGATCCATTATATCCATGTTTGTCAATTTTACATACTGCCAACAACGAAGAAAAAGAATGATGAAAGACCAAGAAATATTTACCAAAACATACTGTGTGTCTTTACTTTTGTCGCATGCAATGCACAAGCACATGGATACGGGTCAAGGTGTTATAATCTCTTTGACTATCAAATCTGCAAATCTTTGGGTCTTTTTTTGTTTAATTTTTGCTTTGCACATTCGAATGTGCAACCACAAGTGATATTTTTATTTCAGTTGCATTGTGCAATTGATGCTCAGCACGAAGTGACGACTATAAGACTGCCGGCGTGACACATCGAAAAATTACACTCCAACACCACACACATTTTATCAATGACGAAAGACTGTGAATGAATTTCGGATGTTTGAAGAATGTTTTTTGAAAAAAATAATCATAATAGATGGAATCTAATCATGCATTGATTGCAATGAGAGTCGGAACTAATTCAATGCATTGAAACGAGGTTAGATGATGCTG